CTGCTGTGATTGGCCTTTTACCATATCACGTGATCAGCTGTATCCATAGGACACAGCGATCATGGAGGTCACCGGGTGCGCAGGAGAGCGCATTCTGGGAGGATGTCATATGACGTCCACCCAGAACTGGCCGGCCGCAGTGAAGCCGTCATTTGGCTATCTGCGGTCGGCAAGTGGTTAATCTCAATCCCCATGCTCCTAAAAACCACCCTCCCTTTTTCATGTGCACTCTGGAATGCCCGCTCTGTCTGTAATAAGCTCACCTCTGTCCCATTCCCTTAACCTACTAGCAATTACAGAAATCTGGTTTCAAGCAGCAGATTCTGCTTCTCCTGTAGTACTTTCCCATGGAGGCCTCCCCTGGACTCACTCACCCAGACCCAGTGGTTAGAAAGGAGGTGGAGTTTGTTTGCTTCTCTCCCCACTGAGCACCTTTCAAGTTCTCCCTACCCCTCCATCTCTATCCTTCTCTTCTTTTGTGACTCACAGCATTTTCTCCCATTTCTCTGAGGATTGCAGTGATCTATCGGCCTCCCGAACCAGTGTCACGCTTTTTTGATGACTTTTCTGCTTGGCTACCCTACTTTCTCTTCTCTGAAATACCCACTATTATTCAAGGAGATTTTAACATCCCCATTAATGTCAACAACCCAGCATCATCCCAACTCTTCAACCTAACCTCATCTTTTGCCTTAACCCAAAGGGCACAGTCTTCCACTCACTCTGATGGGAATATATTAGACCTTGTTTTCTCCCACCTTTACACTCCCTACAACCTCACAAACATCCCCTTTCCCCTTTCTGATCACAATCTCATCACCTTCATAGTGTCCTCGTCTTCAAACACCTATTCCTTCCAGCAGAAAACAATTACCCGCAGAAACCGTCACAACTTTAACCCTTCTCTTTTCCACTCTGCAACTGACCGCCTCTATGACAGAATCTCTCCCATGTCCTGCCCCGACCTGGCCACTTATGTCTACAACAGTTCGCTTTCATCCACACTAGACTCACTTGCTCCCCTAACTACATGAAGTATCAGGCCCCGACCATTACAACCTTGGCAGACTGACGACACCAGAAATCTTAAGAGACATAGCTGTGCACTGGAGCAACTGTGGCATAAAACCAAATCACAGCAAGCGTTCACCCTATATAAATCTGCTTTCTTAAAATACAATTCCTCCCTCCATGCTGCCAAGTAAGCCTACTTTGTCACTCTTATTAACACCTTGTTATCCAGTCCTCGCCGTCTCTTCTCTACTTTCTCCACCTCCACCTTCACCCAGTAACTCACTGCTTATGAGATTGCCAATCATTTCAAAAACAAGATTGATGAAATTCATAGGGACATCTCCACTACACAGACATCTATCCCACTTAGCATACTTTATACGAAACCAACCTCAACGCTTTCCTTTTTTGACCTTGCTACTACTGAAGAGGTCACTAAAGTTTTCTCAGAAGCCCGTCTCACCACCTGCCCTCTGGATCCTGGATCACAACTAATACGGTCACCTCTCTTCTTCTATCCTATCCTCCCTCACTCACATCTTCAATCTCTCCCTCTCTACTGGCGCCTTCCCCTCCCCTCTAAAGTATGCACAGATCACTCCCATACTTAAAAAGCCCTCACTGGACCTCACCAATCTCAACAACTTAAGATCCATCTCCCTGTTCCTATTTACCTCTAAACTCTTAGAATGCTTGGTCTACAATCGTCTGAGCTTCTACCTCACTGACAACAACCCTCTTGACCCTTTACAGTCTGGCTTTCACTCATTACACTCCACTGAAACTGCTACTAAAATTCACTAATGATTTACTAACTGCTAAACCCAATGGCCACTACTCCATACTCTTACTACTTGACCTCTCTGCAGCTTTTGATACTGTTGACCATTCCCTCATCAAAAAAAACCTCCACTTTCTTGGCCTCTGAGACTCTGCTCTCTCCTGATTCTCCTCCTACCTATTCAGCGTTACCTATAGCTCAGTCTCCTCCTCTCCACTTCCTCTTTCTGTAGGGGTCCCTCAAGGTTCTGTCCTTGGACCCCTTCTCTGCTCCATCAACACCTCATCCCTTGGTCAGTTGGTAAACTCTCATGGATTTAATTATCATCTCTATGCTGATGACACACAAATCTATCTTTCTATTCCTCACCTCACCCCTTCAGTCTCCTCTCGCATTACCAACCTACTAAGTGACATATCAGCATTGATGTCAATCAACTTCCTCAGACTAAATCTTTCCAAATCCAAGCTCATAGCCAGTGCCCTCTCCCCTGACTTCTCCATCAAGATCAGTAATACATCCATCAGTCCCTCTCCTCATGCCACGCTGCTCAGTATAATTTTGGACTTCCATCTGTCCTTTCAGCTCAAAATCCAATCACTGTCCAAATCTTGTACACTTCACATCCGCAACATCTCCAAGATACACCCATTTTTGACCACTAAGCAAATTATTAACTCGCTTGTTATCTCTCGCCTTGACTATTACAATTCCCTCCTCATTGGCCTATCTAATCGCAGGCTATCCCCTCTTCAGTCTATCATGCTGTCAGACTCATCCACCTTACCAACCATTCCGTATCTGCCAATCCCTCCACTGGCTTCCCATTGCCCAATGAATAAAATTCAAAACATTAACAATAACATATAAAGCCATTTACAATTCTGCCCAGAAATTACATCACCAATCTTGTCTCCAAATATCACCCAAACTGTCCTCTCCGCTCCTCCCTACTCTCTAGCTCCCTTGTCTCCTCCTCCCATGCTCATCTCCAAGACTTCTCCAGAGCCTCCCCCATCCTCTGGAACTTTCTACCCCAATCTATGCATCTATTGCCTACTCTGCCCACTTTTAGGAGATCTCTGAAAACCTATCTCTTCAGGGAAGCCTATCCTGCCTTCAGCTAATAACCAAAACTTCTATCTCTCATATATATATATATATATATATATATATATATATATATCCCCCACAGTTATTACCTTTTGTACTAGCAGCTCTTCCCTCTTAGATTGTAAGCTCCAAGGAGCAGGGCCCTCCTAACCCTTTTGTATTGACCTGTATTATTTCTGTATTGTCTCCCTTTATATTGTAAAGCGCTGAGCTAACTGTTGGCGCTATATAAATCCTGTATAATAATAATAATAATAATAATGCTGAGCTGCCATTGCACCACAGACTGATATCTTTATGCAATGTGGTTGATTTACTAAATCAAATAGTTTGTTCACCATGTGTCCAAGTGCTTAAAAATCAGCATAGCTTCCCCTCATTTACTAACATTCAATGTGCAAGAAAAAAAAAACAGTTTTTTTTTAATTTTCCTTGGACATGATTGGGTATTCTTTTCAAAGCGAAACTTCAAAACATTCACTAAGCTATTGGGTACATTTCCTTGCAAAATTACAACCTCCCTTGTGATGTGAACAGTCTATTTCCCATTAGAAAATCAACCCAATGCCTCAACTTGTAGATCTTGGGTCTTGACAGAATAAGCACAATATAATACAACCCCCATAATTTACTTTATCCCCAGATGCATATGTTAAAAATAAGACTTAAAGTAAGAAAGCAGTTAAAATAAGCCATAAAATAAACCTGGTTTATTCCACAGAAGTATCACCTACCATAACATAGATTGAAAAGTTTTTATACAGTGGAAAAAAAGGTCTACCGTGGTATGATTCTCAGGGATATTCCAATAGAAAAGGCTTTATTGACAGTGTTCAGCTGTAATATATAATAAGCAGAAGCTATAATACACCTTTCAAAACATCAAAAGCTAAAATAAGGTGCTTTGTGCCATAACAATACACAGGAAAGCTCATTAGTGAAGAATGAGTTTTGGAAATATATATATTTTTTTAAATAGATAACTGAGTAGACCTGAAGCTCTTCTATTTTTTATTATTATCATGATTATTTTACTTACATTTTTGTTACAAGCTTTAAATCACTTTATGTAATAGGAAAAAAGTAATTTTCAAGGAAATGTTGTGACAGGGTAATGATCTCCCACCACACAACATTGAAAATAGTGAAATGGAAAACTATTATCTTGTCACAATGTTTCATTTTATTGAAATTATTGCTGAAGTGCAGTAGTATCTAAAAAGAAATGGATTATCTGGAGTAATGTACATAATGTATAGCCCACACTAAGTGGATGAGCACTGTCAGAGTTTTCCTTTATACAAAGCGATGTGTTATTATTATGCAAACAAGTTCTTGAGTCAAGCTAATAAAACACGAAATAGAAGTATGAGTGAACATCTTTCTCTGTTAGGAAAAAAAAATATATTCCACTTCTCTTGCCAGAATGTTCTCAGTTAAATTGCCCCCAACTTTTATAGTATTCTTTTTATTTTCCTTTTTTATGTGTATTTGATCACTGTTTATTTACTGCTACTTTAATTTTTGTATGTCTGTTTTTTTTCGTGTGAAAAGAATGTAAATAATGAGACTAATGAGGGGTCCACGCATAGGTGAAATGAGCTTTGATGACCTATATGAACCATTTAAACCAATTGCAGCATTAAAAACCACAAAAATAACCTGTCTGGATCATTGCTGGTTGGACTGTGCTTCCCGAAGCGGAAAGTTGTAGTTCTGGTGTCCAAACCCTGTAATCAGTTTCCACCCGCTGATGGCTGCTGGGACCGTATTTAGGTCCTCCCCTACTAGTGCCTCTCCCTCCAGTGTTTTGCTTGCTGCCAGATACTGTTTGATTGTCTACTGAAAACTCAAATATTTTTCGACAATATACGTTAGACATACAGGTATTTAATGATTAACCAGCTCCCGCCCGCCATATAGTAAAATGACGGATGCAAGGCGGGTTTCTCGTTATGGCATCCTCCCATTCTCAGTGCGCATGCACGGCTCTGGGAGCGCGCAGTGCGGCGATCGGTGGTGTGATGTGTCCCTCGGACACAGCGGATCACCGATCCACAGAAAGAGCTGAAGATGTCGGCTCGGTCATGTGATCAGCTGTGTCCAATCACAGCTGATCACATGTAAACAGGGAAATGCCGGTTATCGGCATTTCTCTGTTCACGAGCTGTCACGCTGACAGCTCCAGAGGAGAGGAGAGCCATTAATTGGCATTCCTCAGAGGGGACATCTACACTGATCATCAGAGCACTGATGATCAGTGTGCCCTGATGATCAGTGTAGCCCCAGCAGTGCCACCTGTCAGTGTCCATCAGTGCCATGTGTTAGTGCTCATCCATGCCACCTGCCAGTGCCCATCAGTGCCACATTTCAGTGCCTACCAGTGCACATTAATGCCACATATCAGTGTCCATCTGAGCTGACTTTCAGTGTCATCCATCAGTGCCAGTCAGTGCCACCTATCAGTGCCATCTATCAGTGTGCATCAGTTCTGCCTATCAGTGCCCGTCAGTGCTGCCTATCAGTGCCACCTAACAGTGCCAGTCAGTGCCACCTAACATTGCCACCTATCAGTGCCATATGCGAATGCTGCCTTTCAGTGCCCATCAGTGATGCCTGTCAATGCCCACCAGTACCACCTACCAGTGCCTCCTCATCAGTGTCCATCAGTGCCACCTATCAGTGTGCATCAGTGCAGCCTATCAGTGCCCATCACTACAGTCTCATTAGCGCACATCAGTGAAGGAGAAAAATCACTTATTTACAAAATTTTATAACAAAAACTAAGAGAAAACTTTCAGTGGGTTTTGGTTTGTTTAAGAAAAAATTAAAAACCCAGAGGTGATTAAATACCACCACAATAAAGCTCTATCTGTCACAAAAAAAATGATAAAAATGTCATATGGGTACAGTGTTGCATGAACGCGCAATTGTCATTCAAAGTGTGATAGCTCTGAAAGCTGGAAATTGGCCTGGGCAGGAAGGGGGTATAAGTGCCCTGTTAGGCAAGTGGTTAAAAGAATAACTTGATCCCTTTTTAAATATAGGCTTGCTTTCCCCCAATCAGTTCATACAAAGGCAAGCACTAAATATCCATTTAAAATTTTAAACAATTACATAATTGAGTAATTGCATTGTGTTAAAACCATTACCATCAATCACGTACCAGCCTGCTTTTATACATCAGCACCAGTACTTTTATTTGTAGTGATATGTTATCCAAAGTGTCTGCATGCAGAGCCACATTAATATAAGAACTTCTTTCATGTGCACCCTGGTGCAGGATCCAAGAGAAAGTCTTCAAGAAGACACCAAGGCCCCAGCTAGGCTTAGCTGGGGGGGGGGGTGTTATTTGTAAATCTACTACTGGGGATCACAATGGATCTGGAGAATCTCACTGGAGAGAGGAAGATGGTGGGTCCATCTGTCCTATGTTGGTATGAGTCTACATCCCCCTCACTAGGAGGAGCCTGGTGGATATCGACAGAAGGCAACCAATGACCCTGTGACTGAGTATAGGCAACCAATGACCTCAGTGCTAGAGAAAAAGTGACTGTGTGTAACTTTTAACTCTGGAAGGTGTACAGGTCACCAACAGCAGAGGATATCCTGTGGGACATTCAGCAGATTGTGTAGTTACTGTATGTGCAAAGTGGCCAGAAATCAAGGAATCCTCAAGCTATCCAGTTTTACAGTTTCAGGGTATCGGATGCTCCCTGTCCAAGTTTATCATTTCCAATAACCCCCCCCCCCAAAAAAAAAAACCCCTAGGCTGTTCTTTGAAGCCAGTGGAAGAGTGCAGAAAATGTAGTATGCCTGGCTGTGTGTACTCTAATCGGAAAATAGGACCAAATTCACCAGCGGCTCCTAGGGGGTGTGCTACACTCAGAACTGCCTGTTTTTTTTTTTTTACCAATGTAGTGTAATTATTGTCTGTTGCATGTGTACTACAATAATTGTCTGTTTGTTGCCCACAACTTGTAAAATTTGACTGTCTGTGTGCACACATATTGTATATGATTGGCTATGTAATGTCAGAATTCCTATTTTGTTTTCCTATACATATATAGTCAAATCAGTGCTGTTTTGTTCTACTGGAATGAGAATATACACTTTTCTTTCTTGGACGTTATTAGTATTTTTTTCAATTTGTTGTAAATATTACTATAAATAATTTTATATACAGAACAGAGGGGGTATTAAAAAAATTCTGCCCTGGGTGTCAAATACACTAGGTACACGACTGCATATTACCACATTACCAACACCATGCTGCACTAACGATATTAAAATTGCATGAGGAAAGATTACATCAAATTATTTATTTAAAGCCTTGTTTGTCCCCAGAAAGATGTAGTCCTTGTTAGGATAAATTACAATGCTAAAAGTTATAAGGTGTGGAACCGATACCTAGTGAAACAAAAACAAACATATACTATGGAAATTTAGGAAGGTAGAGGGAAAATGAAAAACACTCCAGGACTGAAACTGTTAAAATATAATCATGTGCATCCCTCAAGATTAGTTGAAGGTAACATTTTAGTCACCTAAAATGTAGGTGGCTGACCCTCAGTGGTATTCACTACAGCAGTTTTAACGGGGAACCTATAAAAAAAAAACAAGAAACAACACGCAGGCCCCCAAATATTCATACAAGACCCTTATATGAGCATGCAGTCTAGCAGGTCAGGAAAGAAGGTGCATGCACCCCCCTTCCTCCTGACCCATACTATACCTGACTCATACCAAATCATATGCCCTAAACATGCAGAGGGTACCCCCTGGTAAAGCACATTGTCCAGATGTTATTGATCACATGGGCCTTTTCTCCACAAACCTTTGCCAGGTGGTTGTGTGGGTCTGTGGGCAGTGGCTTATTGGAATCAGGCCATTCCCACCTCTCCTTGCCACTTTTAAATATCCCTTGCCTGTTAGCTTAGTCTAGCCTGGCTATTATATTTAGAGATGAGCGAAGTATTCAAAAATTCGATTCGGCTGATTCGGCGAATTCGCGGAATAAATTTGATTCGAGTCGAATATATTCGCTGCGAATTTAACTTATAAAAAGGGTGTTTCTAGGCTTCAGAGAGCCTTTATATTAGTGCAGAACACTGTACCTTTAATTTAAATGCCCTTGGAGTCTGCTGGGGAAGAGAAATAATTCTGTCAGTCAGTATGACATGCAGATGAGTGCCGTCGATCTTAGAATCACCGCACACTTCACTCATTTGGGCAGTCACGGGGCCAAAACCAGAGTGTGGAGCCACAGTGTGGCGGTGGAGGCAGCAGCAATGGGAGGCCATACAGCACCCTAGGACAAAATGGAACCCCACCAGCAGTGTGAGGAGACCTGAAAGTGGCACATGACAGAGTGTGGCGATGGAGACAGCAGCAATGGGAGGCCGTACAGGGACCCATGAGACACTCTGGACCTGGCAGCAGCATGAGGAGGCGGTACAGGGCCCCATGACAGATTACGGGCCTGGCAGCAGCATGAGGAGTCGGTACGGGGGCCCATGGCAGATTACGGGCCTGGCAGCAGCAATGGGAGGCCCGTAATCTGCCAGCACCCTATGACAAAATGGAACCCACCAGCAGTGTGAGGAGACCTGAAAGTGGCACATGCAGAGTGTGGCGATGGAGACAGCAGCAATGGAGGCCGTACAGGGACCCATGAGACACTCTGGACCTGGCAGCAGCATGAGGAGGCGGTACAGGGGCCCATGACAGATTACGGGCCTGGCAGCAGCATGAGGAGTCGGTACGGGGCCCATGGCAGATTACGGGCCTGGCAGCAGCAATGGGAGGCCCGTAATCTGCCAGCACCCTATGACAAAATGGAACCCACCAGCAGTGTGAGGAGACCTGAAAGTGGCACATGGCAGAGTGTGGCGATGGAGACAGCAGCAATGGGAGGCCGTACAGGGACCCATGAGACACTCTGGGACCTGGCAGCAGCATGAGGAGGCGGTACAAGGGGCCCATGACAGATTACGGGCCTGGCAGCAGCATGAGGAGTCGGTACGGGGCCCATGGCAGATTACGGGCCTGGCAGCAGCAATGGAGGCCCGTAATCTGCCAGCACCCTATGACAAAATGGAACCCACCAGCAGTGTGAAGAGACCTGAAAGTGGCACATGGCAGAGTGTGGCGATGGAGACAGCAGCAATGGGAGGCCGTACAGGGACCCATGAGACACTCTGGACCTGGCAGCAGCATGAGGAGGCGGTACAGGGGCCCATGACAGATTACGGGCCTGGCAGCAGCATGAGGAGTCGGTACGGGGCCCCGTAATCGGGCCAGCAGCCCAATGGGAGCCCCTGTAATGCCAGCAAAATGACAAAATGGAACCCACCAGCAGTGTGAGGAGACCTGAAAGTGGCACATGGCAGAGTGTGGCGATGGAGACAGCAGCAATGGGAGGCCCGTACAGGGACCCTGACACACTCTGGACCTGGCAGCAGCATGAGGAGGCGGTACAGGGGCCCATGGCAGATTACGGGCCTGGCAGCAGCAATGGGAGGCCCGTAATCTGCCAGCACCCTATGACAAAATGGAACCCACCAGCAGTGTGAGGAGACCTGAAAGTGGCACATGGCAGAGTGTGGCGATGGAGACAGCAGCAATGAGAGGCCGTACAGGGACCCATGACACACTCTGGACCTGGCAGCAGCAGCATGAGGAGGCGGTACGGGGGCCCATGGCAGATTACGGGCCTGGCAGCAGCAATGGGAGTTCCGTAATCTGCCAGCACCCTATGACAAAATGGAACCCACCAGCAGTGTGAGGAGACCTGAAAGTGGCACATGGCAGAGTGTGGCGATGGAGACAGCAGCAATGGGAGGCCGTACAGGGACCCATGACAGATTACGGGCCTGGCAGCAGCATGAGGAGGCGGTACAGGGGCCCCCATGACAGATTACGGGCCTGGCAGCAGCAATGGGAGGCCCGTAATCTGCCAGCACCCTATGACAAAATGGAACCCACCAGCAGTGTGAGGAGACCTGAAAGTGGCACATGGCAGAGTGTGGCGATGGAGACAGCAGCAATGGGAGGCCGTACAGGGACCCATGACACACTCTGGACCTGGCAGCAGCATGAGGAGGCGGTACAGGGGCCCATGGCAGATTACGGGCCTGGCAGCAGCAATGGGAGGCCCGTAATCTGCCAGCACCCTATGACAAAATGGAACCCACCAGCAGTGTGAGGAGACCTGAAAGTGGCACATGGCAGAGTGTGTGGCGATGGAGACAGCAGCAATGGGAGGCCGTACAGGGACCCATGACAGATTACTCTGGGCCTGGCAGCAGCATGAGGAGGCGGTACAGGGCCCATGACAGATTACGGGCCTGGCAGCAGCAATGGGAGGCCCGTAATCTGCCAGCACCTATGACAAAATGGAACCCACCAGCAGTGTGAGGAGACCTGAAAGTGGGCACATGGCAG